ACAAGACTTAAAATCAAACAAATAGATAACCCTAATTCAAGACAAAAATGCATGAAAATAATACACTTTACACACTTGCACCTCTAGGGTTAACCCATATTTGTTGCCTCAAATAAAACAGTCATGTCCCTCGAACGTGGGATACTTTAACAAAGACCCTCGATTACAAGATCGTAGTCCCTCGATGACCCTTCGATGTTGCCTTCGGTAAATGATCTTAGGCCCTTATGATAAATTGCTAAGGTATCCTACAGTGTTGCCTTCTATGACTGTACGATGACCCGCGCTTGTCCCTTCATATCCAATGACATGGTTTCTTACCAACTAATGGCAAGATAACACTATCTAAAGGAGGAGGAAGAGAACAAAGACTTAATTTTGAGTAGGTAGAACGCTCGTACTTGCTTGCTCACAAACATTTCAAAACAAAACATCTTTCAAATGCACCAACACTTTCATGAAATATTTTCAAAAGTCAACACTTTTTATACATTCTTATATAGACGATAATCATTACAAAGTTCGCCTAAACGAAGGCACTTTTCAAAAATACTTTCAAACAAACACAAACACATTTTGCAAAGCATTTCAAAGTGAGCTAGCAATTGAGAGCCCGTAGATAAGTACTGATGAAAAAGGTGCTAACACCTTCCCTTTTCATAACCTATCCCCCGAACTCAAGAAAAATTCTCAAAAGGTCTTTCCTGTTCTTTTCACCCTTTCGTCTATTGGATAAAATAAAAGTTGGTGGTGACTCTTACTATCCGCAACAATTACGATAAAACGCAAAACACCCAAGTCAGTTCTCCCACCGTATTACAAATGGTACTTGGATTCAGGATTCTCATCACACATGTCTGGAAGGAAAGATTGGTTTGTCAACTTAAAACCCTCAACAAAGAATATAGTGAAATTAGCAAATGACAATACTCTAGCAGCTGAAAGTATTGGAGATGTCTTGATTATGAGGAAAAATGGCAAAAGGTCAGTAAGTTCTAATGTGTTATACATACCAGGAGAGCAATTTGCTCATAGGGCAGTTGGTCAAAAATAAGTACAAAGTGTTGGTCAAAGACAAGATGAAGAGAGTCGTCGATGCAAATAGAAGGTTAATCTTGAAGGCTCTCATGTCTCAAAATAGAACCTTCAAGATTGAACTTAATGTGATGGATCAAAAGTGCCTTTCGATTATAGCCAGTAGAGATGAGTGGATATGGCATTATTGACTAGGCCTTATCAACTTCAGAGACATCAGAGATTTGAAGAGAAGAAATATGGTTTCAGGATTGCCAGAAATCGACATTCCAAATGAAGTGTGTAAGGAATGTATACAGGCGAAGCAACACAAGAATAGCTTCAACAAGGATGCAGGAAGCAAGTCAAAGGCTATTTTTGAAGTCATATACTCTGATGCATGTGGACCAACCCAGGTGGATTCGTTTGGAGGTAAAGTGAAGTGATCGAGTTATTTTCTAAGTTTAAGTCTATGGTCGAAAGACAAAATGGTCGAAAGCTCAAAGTTTTGAGAACTGATGGTGGTGGAGAGTATGTGTCGAAAGACTTCGACATGCTATGTGAAAAAGAAGGGATTATGCATGAGGTGGTACCACCCTATACTCCACAATAGAATGGAACTACAGAAAGGAAGAATCGAACCATTATATATATGGTGAGAAGTATGTTGAAAGAAAAGCATTTACCTAAATAGTTTTGGAGTGAAGTTGTGCTGACTGCAACATATATTTTGAACAGATCTCCTACGAAGAAGCTAGAAGGAATTACTCTAGAAGAATATTGGTCTGGTACAAAGCCTAACTTGAGTCATCTGAAGGTATTTGGATCTATTGCACATAGAAATTTTCCAGATCAGTTGAGAAGAAAACTTGATGACAAGTCGAGTCAAATGATTCTAGTTGGATATCATTCAACAGGAGGTTATAAGTTGTTCGACCCTGTGAACAAGCAGATTATGATCAGCAGGGACGTGATCATAGATGAGCTTAAGGAATTGGACTGAAAATGTCAAGAAAGATTCAGTGAGAATCTTGCTTGAAAAACCAGAAACTCAAGTCGAAAGAGAAGTTTGACATGAGGAACCAACAATTATAGATCAACCAAGTGCAAGAAGACCTCAGCGAACAAAATACATGCCTGCAAGTTTGCAAGAATGTGTGATTACATCAGATGATGTGGTTGATAACGAAGGTGAGCTTGTACATTATGCTTTCTATGCATATGTCAAACCCGTCAATGCAACTGAAGCATTGAAGGATTCGAAGTGGGTGAAAGCAATGAACGAAAAAGAGAAGTCTATCAAAGACATCAAGACTTGGTCACTAATTGAATTTCCTCAAGGAAATAAGGCAATTGATGTCAAGTGGGTTTACAAAGTGAAGATGAATCCCAAAGGGGAAGTAACTCAACGCAAAGCAAGACTTGTGGCGAAAGGATTTCTTCAAAAGGAAGAAATCAACTTCGATGAAGATTTTGCACTTGTGGCTAGGATCGAAACAATCAAGTTAGTTGTTGGTCTTGTAGAAATAAACAGTTGGCACATATGTCAGATGGACGTGAAGTGTGAATTCATAAATGGACCCTTAGACGAAGAGGTTTATGTTAAACAACCAGTTAAGTTTGTGAAATATAACAAAGAGAGAAAGATGTACAGGCTGCATAAAGCCCTATATGGATTGAAAGAAGCTCAAAGAGCTTGGAATAAGAAGATTGATAATTTCCTAAGGAAGAAGGAATTTGTGAAGTGCACAACTGAACATGGAGTATATGTAAGAAAAAACAATTATAAATTGCTTATACTATGTCTCTATGTCAATGATTTGTTAATAATAGGTAGTTGCAATAAGAAGATCAAAGACTTCAAAAATAATCTCAATAAGGAATTTGAAATGTCTGATTTGGGTGACATTTCATATTTTCTTGGCATCAAATTCTACAAGAGCAGTAGAGGTTTGATGATGCATCAAAGAAGACATGCAGGAGAAATTCTCAAGAGATTTGAGATGGAAGAATGCAACTCGATTTCGACACCTGTTGAACCAAGGTTGCAACTGCCGAAAGATACAGATGAAGATGTCATCAACCCAACTCAATATAAAAGACTTATTGGGTCATTAAGACACATTTGTCATACAAGGCCTGACTTAGCATACAGTGTAGATATGGTAAGTAGATTCATGCATAAGTCAAAGGTATCACACCTAACAGCAACAAAGAGGATATTAAGGTATCTCAAAGGAACTCTCGACTATGGTATTTTGTTTCCTGCAGTTGATAAGGGAAAAGAATGTAAGTTAATGGGATACATTGATTCAAATTGGTATAGTGATGTTGAGGATAAAAAATCCACAATAGGATATGTGTTTATGTTAGGTGGTGCACCCGTTTTTTAGAGTTCGAGAAAGAAATCATTAGTGACATTATCATCATGTGAAACATAATACATAGCTGCTTCTCTTTATGCATGTCAAGCAATTTGGATGGTGAACTTGGTCGAATAGATTACAAGTAAAAATCATGGAGAAATTACCATGAAGATTGATAACACGCCATCTATCAATTTGGCGAAGAACCCGATAGCTCACGGTCGAAGCAAGCACATCAAAATGAGGTTCTACTATCTTCAAGAGCAAGTAGCTGATTGGAAGATGAACTTAGAACACTGTAAAACAGAGAATCAGATTAGAGATATCATGACGAAGGGAGTGCATGTCGAAATATTTAGAAGGCTAAGAGTCATGATGAATATAGATAATTTAGACACAATGAATTATGTGGTGTGTTAAATTATAATTTCTTGATGTCGAAACTATGTGTGTCGAATGAGAATAGTTGTCGAAGCAGATTGCTCAACAAATTACATTTATTTTAGATTTAGATAGATTTGATTTAGATCTAAAATAAAATAAATTTGACTTAGTTTTAAAATAAGTATTTTAGACTTTTATAGTTTTTGATTTTAGTTTAGAGAGAAAGGTAATCTAAATCTATAAATAAAGAAGTAACTTTTATTTTTGCAATTAAATCAATTCATTGTATTCACAGAATTTATAGTTACAAATAAATAATGTAAATGATTTTATTTATCAAAATTATTTTGAAATTCTTTATAAATTTAACTTAAATCCCAACTAACATTTATTTAATATATTAAAGTTAAGTAAATATAGTTTATTGTTTTGACCCAAAAAATAAATATTGTGTTTATCGTAGATATCGACATACGATATTTATCCGATAAATATCTAAAAGGATTTCACAAAGCAATGGCACAATCGAAATATTTCCACAATCAATGGACCTATCGGAGACATTCTCGAAATAAATTAAAAACAAAACTTGTGAAGAAGGAAAGCGAAGCGAGCGTTTCAGTTATTCGGGAAGGTTCGTGTCACATGTGCCACGAGGCTCGGGATACCGAAGCAAGACAAATCGATTAAGAAAACGCCACGTCACCGAATTCCGAACCACAATTTAATAATATCAGAAATATCTAGAGAAAGGTTATAAATAGATATTTCAGTGTGCCAAATCAAAAGTTTTCTGAAATCCGCTAAACACAAACACAAAACGTTGTACAAAATCAAAACAATAACATAGTTCCATTGTTTCGAGTTTCGAAGCTGAAGCGTCTTCTTACTAGAGGTATTATTTTCATTTCAATTTTTTTTTTTTGTTTTGTTTATGGTTTTTGCTTCTTTGAATGAATCTTGTCCACCAAGTGTTTGATTTATTGTTTCTATTACTTGGTGGCTAAGAAAAATCAGTTCTTTCTTGATTTGGTTTATTCATTTATTGTTTTAGTTGTTATTTATAGCAGTATCTTGTGAAGTTCAAGTTGTATTTTTCCACTTTTTAGGTTTGGTTTTCTTATTTGGTTCTTTCTTCTTTTTCTCTTTGCAGATTGTAAATTGTATTGTTAAGTTTGGAAAGACTGTTGAGTTATTTGGGAAGTGGTGTTCTGGTTAACCCTAAATTTTGTGGAGATGGGTGCTACTGTTTATGATCAAAGTTTTAATGTTAATCTTGCGCCTTTGGAACCATCTAGAAAGAGGAAAACTAGGAGTAGAGGAAAGGGGAGTAAATCTGTGGCTGAGATTCTGGCGAAGTGGAGGGAGTATAATGAACATCTTTATGCAGAGGGTGGTAAACCGAAGCGTAAAGCGCCGGCGAAAGGTTCCAAGAAAGGGTGTATGAAAGGGAAAGGAGGGCCTCAGAATTCGGAGAATAGATATAGAGGTGTTAGACAGAGGACTTGGGGGAAATGGGTTGCTGAGATTAGGGAACCGAATAGAGGTAGTAGGCTTTGGTTAGGTACTTTTCCTACTGCTCAAGAAGCTGCTCTGGCTTATGATTATGCTGCTAGAGCTATGTATGGGCCTTCGGCGCGGCTTAATTTTCCTCATATATCGGATTATAGTTCTATTAGTGAGTCTTTGAAGGACTCTTCTTCCTTGCCTGCTGATAGCTGTCCTTGTTCTTCAGTGGCAACATCTGAAACTGCGTCTAGTCATTCTGAGGTTTGTGCCTTTGATGATGTAAAGGAGAAACCTAAACTACCTGTGTATATGAACAATACTTTTGATGTTTTTCGTAAAGATTATGAAGCTTCATCTCCAACTAGTAGAATGAAGCAAGAGCCAAAGGATGAGCATATTCATATAATAGACCCTGGTATTGGTGAAATCAAAGATGCTAAATCAGAAGGAAGACAAACACGAACACAGACAGAGACACATGATGTTGTGCAGGTTGAAGAAGGTGTATGTAATAATGACCAGATGGATCTATCATGGATTGATAACTTTGACTTCAATGGTGATTGCTTAAAGAATTTTACCCTGGATGAGTTTTTTCATGTGGATGAGCTTTTGGGACATATAGACAATAATCCGATAACCGATGAACATGGGTTGATGCAAGGTTTGGATTTTGGACAAATGGGTTTTCCTGAAGAAAACAATCCTCAGGTTGGAACTGGAACTGAAACTACTTCAAGCTTCTTTTATGAATTGGAAAATCCAGATGCTAAGCTATTGGGAAGTTTGCCTCATATGGAGGAAAACACAACATCAGGTGTTGATTTTGGATTAGATTTCTTAAAATCAGAAGAACCTGGGAACTATAATGATGCACTTGGAGATACACTGTTTCCTGTTCTGGATATTATGATGTGAATCATGCTTCAAGACCAATGTAAGAAAGTGAAGGAATGATTAGAGAAGACTTTGTTGCCAAATTTGCCTCACTAGGAGCTTGTCTCTTGGATTTGTTGGTTCTTTTCCTTTTAGAATGAAATTCTCTGCAGGTTTTTTTGAAATGGGGAATTTAGCTGACAACATTTGTTTATTTTTTGGTTTACTTTATTTTCTGGGTTTAATTTAGACTTCCTTAGAACTTTTGTACAGTGCTGTATAGGTCTAATACATCATGTTGACCACTGATTTTGATGTTACTTTTCATGTTATCTATCCTTTTTTTTTTTCAGTTGCACTAATATATGTATATAATGTAATGTTTCTTAGTGTAATTTTGATTATGTTTTATAAGTTATTTATGTATCAAGTAAAACTAATCACACCTTATACTATATAGCATATAAGAAATCTAATGGTTATATGTGCTTTTATGTTGCTAAATTCACCCTTTTAATGTTGTGAGTTGGTTGTTGATTAGTTTATAATTATTTCTGAATTGATAAATTTATCCTTCGAATGTTGATAAATTGATTAAGTTTTAAACTGTTCTAATGGACTGTTTTAAATTGATAAATCACAAATACTAATTAATGTAAAAAATTGTTTTAATATTTAAAAATTTGAAGATAATTAAATAGTTTTTTAAAATTTTAGAAAATAAATTTAAATTTTTTTATAGAAATTAAAATATGTCAATTTTTTTATTAAAAATTAAAATTAAAAATTAAAATATTTTAAGGATTAAAAATATATTTAATTTTAAAAAATTTAGTTAAGAAATACCATATTGTAAAGAGTTAATTCGAAGGTGTATGTTCATATAATATTCAGTGAATTTTTTAAAGATGTATCTCTAAAATATATTTCGTTAGTTTAAATCAGAAACAACCAAGAATAATGGTACAATAATAAAAAATAATATAAATCAATTTTAAAATAAACGTTATATATTGGTAATAGATAATGTTAACACAACGTTAACATTACATTTTATTAAAAACTGTTGGTTTAGGACGTTGTAATATTAGAATATCTCTAGTCAATCTTGTAATCGTCGTATTCATTTCAATTGAATTCTCTGTTGAATAATAATATTAGTTTGAGAATTTGAAATTCAATTCTCGACAGCAAAAGTGTAAGAATGTGTGAAATAAAAATGCTAAAAACAGGGTGATCACATTATAAGTTTTTGACATACTGGTCATTTCGACTAAGGTGATGGATTTCAACTCGTCTATAAATTATTTTTGGATTTAGTATATTGTTGAGTTCAAGGAATAAATGAGCTAAAAATCTATTAAGTCTAGTTTGAAAGAATTTTAAGAACAAATTTGAATTAGGATGGAGGTATCACAAGAACAGATCCACAAGATTAAGACCACTCTCTCTTTAAAATAATATTTAAAATCTTGAAAAGATTTGCAGTGATCTAGCCTATTTGATAAGGACAATTAGAAGACTTGAAGATATTTTAGCAAAAGTAGTTAAGAGATTTAAGAGTAGTTATTGACCTGCTTAGCAGTTTAGAGGTAGTTGAAAGACTAAGGACATGTGAAAGCAAAACATAAATAAAAGTTCACATAAATGATACGTGTTGAGTTATAGGATAGTGGTGATTATCGATGGTTATTGATGTAGTTAGAATATAAGTTGATTTCATTGATGTAATTAAAGTTCATAAATTTTATAAGTATTTTCTATATGACTCGAGTATCCAAGTAGAGAAAAGAGTTTGTAAGAAAACGTGTATAAATTTGTGTCCCATTTTCTAAATTCATCAATCAAAGCATTTACTTTAGTTTACTTTTATTATTGATATTTGTTTACTTTTTTTTTTTTGAAAAATTCTATATTGCTCTAATTGGAACTTCTATCTAATATCTCTGCATTAAAACATTAATATTCAAGCACGAACATACGTTTTCTCAAATTCTCTTCATAAATTGTCCATAAGATTTTTTCGAGTTTAATCTATTAGGTGAACTGATATTTTTATTTGATTTACTAAAAATACTAGTAAACAAATTAGCACGTCTAATGAAACTCTTTTGTGCAAGAAACTTAAATTTTTGTAGAAAAATGTAGTGTCTTTTATTGTTTATTTTTGTTCTTCATACATGAAATATTTTCAATATCTGAGTGTTTATGCATTTGAGAAATGGTAAGACTCTTATTGAGAGGACTCTTCCAACGTTGAAAAATCCTCCCCCTTCCTCAGAACAATACTTCAAATATAGAAGAACAACCAACTGAATCGACGGTTGATAATGCAGAAACTTTAATGTTCGTTGGAGTAACCACTTATGTCATAAGCCAAATGTCAGTTTCAACAATATTACCATAAATTATGGTTTTCCCAACACATTCAGCGAGTATTCTAACTACTCATAAAGTTATACAAACGGTTATAGGAAACCTTAGACCGTCTTTTCTCCCAAGTTTTATGTACCCCCTGATAGTAAGGAGTATTCTTATGGCCAGCCGCAATGATTATAGGCTTGCAAACTAACACATCTACGTTGACAGATAATGCAATGTCTATTGTGTCACCTCTTAATCCATACTTAGTGTCAGAATTTGTTATAAGTAATCCTAGTCGAGTGGCACAACCTCAAGAAGAGTTAGGATATATCTGTTAAGTTATATCACCTTTAACTACTAGTTCTCTCTTATCTATGAAGCAACAAATAGATGAAACTAACTTTGATATGGTGAACATGCTTACATAGTAAATTGGTACAATATTTAATCTTTTGACCTAAAACATAAACCATAATTATCAACTTCTTTGGTGCTCCTAAAAAGCCCATTAGACCAATTCCTCAAATCCAAAATGTTAGGCCAATTAAAAATCTAGGAGTGCCCAACAATGAAGGGATTCCTATTAATAAACAACAACATGTTATGCCCTAATAGATCAAACATCCCATACCCAGGGTAGTCGAGGATGACTTAGGACAAAATGGCTCAGAGGTTGTATTGGTTAATTGAAATTAGGATGCAGACCAAGTAGTCAGAAATGTCCAACAAAACAATTTTGGGGGTAAAATAACATAGTCAACATGGTCAAACAAATCTTAGCCCAAAATGACCTCAGTGTTGGTCTCCATAGGCCTACTTTTGTTTCTTTCTTGTTTGAATAAATTTTGCAAATTGAACTTCTCAGGGGTTGGAAAATTCCTAATTTCACAAAGTTTACAGGCGTTACCAATGAATCCACTATCGAGCATATTGCTCGATATCAAGTAGAGGCAGGAGAGCTGGCCAATAATGAGAACTTGAAACTGAATACTTCCCTAATTCTATGACCAAGGATTCCTTCATGTGGTTCACCACCTTACCTACACATTCAATATGTAATTTGAACTAATTAGAAAGGGTGTTCCATGAGAAGTTTTACATGAGCCAGTCGAAGATTAACCTGAAATAATCAGCCAGTGTGAAACAAAAATCGGCTGAATTAATAAATGGTTATATTAATAGGTTTAGGATATTGAAGTAGAGATGCTTCACCCAAGTGCCTGAACATGAGTTAGTCTTAATGGCTGCATGAGGTTTAGACTATTCTATTAGGAAGAAAGTAAATACTCAATATCTAAGAGATATGACCCAGTTAGCGGATAGAGTGAGGCAAGTCAAATGGTTGAAAGTTGAAAAGGCTAGGTCGAATAAATATCATAAATATAAAAAGATTCTTATGTAGAAATAAATGAAAACAACCAAGAATCAGACATAGTTTATGAATATGTTGAAGAAAATGATATTAACATAACAGAGTTGCAACCATGACCTCCATATGTTTGTAAGGTCCTAAGGCCCTCTAATTGAAAAAAATCATGTCGAACCTAGTAAAAATGAAAAATTCATTACAAAGACTTATAAGTTTGACGAAACTATATGTGATAAAAAATTGATCTTTTGGTTGTCGATGGTCAAATCAGAGTGCCAAAAGGCCTAAAGATGGGGGACCTTATTTTGTAGGTAATAAACCTTCAATCAAGATATCGACTTTTGATGATGACAACTAAAAGACAATTATGATGACAACTAATATGGAAACCATGATGACAACTGAAGGACAACTAATGATAAGTCAAGCACAACACCCGATCAGTTAAAGATACAAACCTAGATGTTATGGTTTGGTGGATTTGACCATTTGAGGAAAGAAAGTAAAGTGAAACCTAAGTGTTATGAACTATGCAAAGAAGGTAAGAAAAAAATTGTAAAATTTACAAAGCCTCAAGTGATTTCAAGTAGAGTAAATACATAAGATAATATCTAACAAAGGACTTGTAGAAAAGGATTAATCTCCTAGTTTAGTAAGTGAGTGAACTTATGTAAAAATGAAGGGGCTTTTCTGTAAAAGTATATGGATATAAGCATACACACACACTAAAACCTTTTTCAAATATATTTTATCAAGAGAAAACACTTTCAAAATGTCTTAGAGTTGTTCCAGATGACTTAGGAGTTTGTATCTACCTAGAAGAAAAATTTTAATTCATCTAATCGATTAGGACTTTGGTCTAATAGATTATATCAATTCAAACTTACGACCCAAGACATTTAGACAATTCCTTAATGATGTGCAACATCCATATATATTGAACTTCCATTTTGTGAACTTATAATTGATTGTTTTTTGAAATCTAATCAATTAGCAATTTCATATAATTGAGTAGCTAATGGTGAAATTCATTGAATGAAAATTTCATTTTGGGCACACAAGTTTCCTATAAATAGAGGCCTAATTTCTCATTTAAAATCATCCAGAATCGTGTTTTGACACTTCCTTATCTCATAATTTCTCTCTTTCCCTCTCTAAGTTTTATTTTTACTTTCTCTCACTAGATGTTATAATCAAATGGTTTTGTGAGGAAAGTCTCTTTGTGAGTGAGGTCATTTATGTAATTTTGGAAGTGGTATAATTGTTAAAGTTCACCAAGGATATCGTTTATATATCTTGGTTGAATATT